GTGACCATTTTTTGACGTTTTCACAATTTGGTAACCAAAAAGAATCTCCATTCAGTTTCAGAAGACCCCTAATCTCTGGTTCTGCAGAGCGGCTTCCTTAGATAAGATGGCAGATTTCATGACCGCTTCCTCCTCTCCCTGGAGATGGCACCTTTGTACCATTGTTGGTCAGAGTGGAGTTTGATAACAGCTGGCAGGAGATGTGACCACAACAGTGGAGAAGCAAGCATTAGGCAGCTTGGTTACATAAATCTCCGATGTGCTTCTCCTCCCCACCCCTGATAACACACCTGGTGGAGGATTGCTTTTGCGCCTTTCTCCATGGAAAGAAAGTTTGCTACTCAGCAGGCAAACGCAATATTTCAACCCTTGTAAAATTGTTGCAAAACGCCATATATGTCCAGAGAGACTATCATTGCTTTATTTGTGTTCTTCATTATTTGCATGGTTGTGTTCAAACTGGAAACTTGCACTGTAATTAAGCAATGCTTTTGTTTATATTGGAAAGTATGTAAATTGTTTGCCGTATGCCATTCCCTCCAGTGCCCTTGGAAGAGTTGCAAATTCTCTTGCTTGTATAAAATTAAAGACCAATAAGATGACACTCAATACTTTGGAGGCAGGATGAGATGCAGTTTCACTGAGATTAAAAGGAAACCTTCCAAAGGCTTTCATGGCTTGCAAAAAACCCAAAGCAAATAGCATTCTCTATGCCTACAGCCCTTTATGGGGAATGGTTACAGGTGCTGTGGACGTAATGCTGTAGGCCAGTGGACCTCCCAGGCTTTCACTTCTGAGGTTGTTTTTCTAAGACAAATCATACACAAAATGATACTGGAGAGAACCATAAAAATGCCATGGTGTGTTTTTCACTGGGGAACAGCAAGATAGGAATTGGGAGGAAGACAAGACAGCCCTTCACACTTTTCTTTTTTTCTTTTTTTATTCTTTTTTATTATGAAATACACATTTTTTAGAATTAGTTTCAGCTGTACAACACAGTGCAATAGTTATACTTTTTACCCCTCGAAGTGACAAC